TGGAGAAAAAAACAGTTAAAAATATGACCAAATTTATAAACTCTCGACTTTCAACTTCATCTCACTTTAACACGTTTCATTCCTGTTATACTATCAAAAACTGATTGTCTGTTATAGTTTTAACAAAGCAAAAAATTTGTTTAACTTTTATGACAATAACAAGTTTTCCAGAAAATTTTTAAAGACTTCACGTATTTTGAGTAAAAATGAAGATAATGTGCCTGATGGTGTTTTTACTCAGAGGCACCTTTTGCTCTTAATATCTAAAGTTTTAAAATTTATTTCAAATCAACTCCAAGAGAGTCATAGTGAGTATACTTAATTAGATAACATAGAAATTAAGCGCTTGATAATTTATTTTCTTAGTATTCTTTTCTTAAATACTGCTTAACTAAAAGAAGTAGATGCACTTAAAGTTGTGAAAATACAACTGATTTTTCTGAGATTGAGATTTAAAGTTTGCGATAATTCAGTAAACAGATCGACAGTAAAGTATTCAACATTTATTTAGTTACAAAGCCTTTTATCCTGGGTAAAAATAACAATGTTAAGCTGTTTTGTTTAAAAAAGATGAAATGATATCAATCCTTATTCGATCTAACTATGCCTAATGAATCTCATACAGATAATATTGCAATTCTATTAAAATAACAGAAAACTGGTTATCTAGTTAGCTGTTTTTTAGCTCGCATCGAAGGAATTAACTTGTTTCATTGGTGCAATTGCCTCCTGTGTAAATGATACATTGCACAATGTCAGCATATTGAAAATTTTTGCCATAATCAAGAACCAAAAATTTCTCATTAAGTTTTCAGTCGAATTCAGTTCGACTTATGTTGTTTAGAGGCAAACAATTGTGAAACTCTTACGCGTTTAGTAGATTTTGGAATTTCTTTTTTCTTAAAAATCGCTCACTACTTTTCATAACTCTAAGATCCATTATAGTTTACTTGGTGACTAGTGGTGGAATCTAGGATGTTTCGTCCCATCTGGGCCTTGTCAGCTGGATATATCTGCAGCCTGGTGTGATTTTGTTCCCATTGAGACTCGAACCCAGAAGCCATCGTCTTCGACTATAACATGTTATCCCCTGGGCCGCTGGTGGCACGATAGCGACCTCTTGTGCAACGGGTATGTTTTTGTTCTGATACTTGTAATTTCCCGTTGGTATACAGGGCCGAAATACTCGACCTCTGTCGGCGAATGGACTCCTATATGGATGCCATGGCACTGCCTGAATGTTCACTTGGTTTTAGTTTACTTGGTGGCTGGTGGTGGGATCCAGGTCGAGCCCTTCGTCTTCTTTACAAAATCTTTCATGCAAAGATTACTTACTCGTTATTCAAATTGTAAGCGGCTTATGAGGAACTACAGGAATCGAATAGTCTAGTTTGTATTCTGCATGGTCACTTCTAGTTATGCATAGTTATCAGGGGACTTATTTTTGTGAAGTGTACTCACCGTTGTTTTGATCATTTCAATTTTTGAGTAAAGTTGATAATCAGAGTAACATAAGTCCTTTTACAGTGGTACACTGTTTTAAGCTGTCATTTATAATCAGCATACAGTTAACGAATACGGAAGAGTATTGCAATCGATAAAAGGACGGGCAAGAGTGAACAGATTTGTGAAACATCCAAGGCTTAGAGGAAAATAATCAAGGAATATATTTATATATATTTGTCTCAGTCTGAGTTATATTGCAGTCGGTTTTTAACATTTTATCTAACCAATTCAAAGAGACTTCATTTTCGTATATTATTGGGGTTAATAGTCACTAGTCTCATTGGTTGAGACCATACTCTTAAGTGGTTGTAAAAAGAAATAGGAAGTAATGATGCATACACAGTGAATTCACCAATAGGATTTTTATGTTTGACGAGGATAACATGGAAATCATCATTCATGAATGTTAGTCAAGTGATAAAATTTTACAGGTGTCTATGTGGTTCTGTTATCTTGTTTCTCAACACTTTTAAAAATCCAGTTTTAGGTTTCATAACTCTTGAGGTATATTGGATAACTACTGATTTTTGTGATAAAATGAGTATTTTCTGGAACTGCTTTTCTTAGTAGAAAAGAGTATGATTACTTTTATTATTTTCTAAGTGGGATCAATGGCCTACAATGTTACGATTTTATAGTTGATTGACAAGAGCTTACTGGTGTGCTATGTTAATTTTTCGCATTAAAATGGTGAAGTATACTTGCAGTCATAAGGTTGCTCGTCATACTGTTCGAACCCAGCCTATGAATTATTATTATTATTAGTCCCTTGGGTACCTAGTGGAACATAGGGCTTCAGTAGCACGCCTCCAGTGAATTCTGTTCTCTGAGATCTTTTGAACCTGGCTCCACGACAGCCCACAACTTCTCATTTCTTCCTCGCACGACCTCCTCCATGTCACCCTCGGACGTCCAACTCGTCGCTTCCCATGGGGATTCCACTCGAGGGCCTGACGCGTGATGTCCTCAGTCGGCCTTCTCAGTGCATGGCCAATCCATCTCCACTTCTTCCTGCATATTTGTTGCGTGATAGGTTCTTGGTTGGTTCGTTCCCAGAGTTCCTTGTTGCTTATTTTTTCTGGCCATCTGATCTTCAGTAGCAGCCTATAAATAGTCATTTTCGGTGAAGTTTTAGATGAAAACTTCCAGTATTCTTACGGAAATCTGTTTTAGTATTCTAGGCTTTCTCAGGTCGATCAGAAGTTACTAACCACTAGGACGACTTTCAATTAGACGTATATGCATGAAAGAGATGCACATAACACGCCATGCATCCTACTAACAGACCTCAGATCCCCCGTTATCTGCCCCTACCTCCTTAGCAGGGATGGTACGGCTAAGGCCGGGTGTTTCTTACACTCATCACTCTACTAATATCAACCCTGCTCCCATTTTGGGTGGGGTTTTAGCTAATGACTTCATATATTATTGCAGACAGCTAACATAAACTGAAATGTATCTTGTTAAGAATTCCACTTATCACACGTTGCTTGAACCTTTCAAGCCCCTTAACAAGAGAAAACGCTATAACACGTTTTGTTACTTACCCGACGCAAATAAAAAGCCAGTTTCCATTCAATAAAATGAATGTAAAATAAATTATCTTCTGTCCTTAGCTTTATATGTATTCGTATTCTGAAAGGAAATTGTGCAGTGCGCAAATTAAATCGCTGTTTTTAGAGTAAGTTTGATTCTCATTGGATAATCTTCATAATTGTATTGGTAATCTTCTCAGGCGTGTCATATTTAATAAAAATGCTAGTTGGTGGGTTGAAAAGAATCATTAGAATTAAGTCAACACTTCGTTAGAATTAGCGAGTTCTATAATTCACTGATACAACCATTAGAAATCAACATATTTGATTGGTTTTTTGGATGAACGGTTATTACTTCAGCCCAGTATCTAAAGGACGAATACGTTTCCATACAGGTTATGTGGGAGATTTATGATTTCTAACCAATGTTATACTTGCTTCCGTGTAACTGAAATGAATATTGGTGTATATTCTGATAACCACTGTAGCAGTATTTAAATGAAATGACCTGGTAATCGGATAGAATATTTCTACTATTGGGATAACATAGTTTCTAACCAAATTTGCCGTATACGTTTAGATGATCGACTGAAATCTAACCATTGATCTAGAGTCAGTTTTACCGTGAGTCCGTTCCCATGACTCCTATTAGAATCAAGAAAAAGTTCGAATATACTGCTGTTCAAACCATTTTAATAATTTAAAAGATCTTTTCTACCAAGTTATAAGGAGGGATAATCGTCTTCGTTATTTGAGTATAGAACTTACTAATACTACATAAAGCCTTTTGATATGGGGTGTCATGCTGGGAACAATCTTTGTTATCTAGTGACTTAAACGGTATAAACTTTCGCAAATACATTGTTTAAAATTACTCACAATTTCCAATATTTTACTTCGAATCTATAAGCCTTATTCTTTTAATTCAAATCTCAGCCTTAGCTAATAAATTACATTTACTTAGAATATTTTTTATGCCTTGAAAAGTTGAAAACGTAATCATAAGCTGAATAACCGAATTTCAGCTGCCTATAATTATCTGTATTTCTCCATTGAATGAGAATTAAGCAACGAGCATTCTAGTATATAGTTTTTATAATGGTAAGGAAAGAAAAAATTGCACACTAAACATTGAATGAACAATTTTTATTGACAATAGTTGGTTTCTGATAACCTAGCGTAACCAAAGGAAGTAAGGTATCATTTAAATTAGGATTTGTTTGTTATTTGTTGTTTTTTTTAACGTTTTAGAGGCACTTGCTATCGATTCTTCAAGTTTTGAATCCATATATCTTAAACCTTAAGAACATCAGTTCTCTCGAGGCTTTAGATATGACTTGCTGATGAGTACCAGCAAGTGCGAAACCTGATTTCAAGAGTTCCTGATGACTGAGTTCAACCAACCAATATCAGTCAGAGTGCACCATAATGGTGAGTCTCTTAGCATGGTGATCTGATTACAAATGACAGATAAAATTTTCTCAGCACTCAAAATTAGGTAATATGAAATTGGTTACTGCTAGTAACCAATCAGTGTGGACATAATCAACATTAGACATGGAATTAAAGTTAATCAGTTGATATTTTTACTGCGAATATATCTAATCCACCAAGGAATTTCCTTCAATTTATAATAGTGCTGTATAATTTTATTTTGACTAAAGTTTGACGATTGACATCAGCAAAAGAAACTAATTATTATTTCCGATGGTCAGATAATTTTTTGAGCTTACATAAAGCCCTGCATAATGTTATTTCAGAAGAAAGTAGCTTTTACGTGATTTTTCGATTTAATTAAAAAATAATTATATTTCCATTGGATCTGTTTAACACATAAATTCATGCGTTAAACAGTGCTACTTAAAGATAGTCAAGACACAAGTAGTAGAGATGTGATGATTGTTTTTCAAAACAGTGTTCGTGTGGTTTTTATAAAATGTTTTTCTTATTATTATTTAGCTGCACTGGGTGTAATGTATTTATATGGGATAGGCGTAAAGGAAAATCGTGAGAATGCCCTATTCTGTCTATCGGAAGCTTCAGCTAGAGGTAGCATGTATGCCAGAGCGAATTTAATCTACTTTTATTATAAACGAAAAATGTTTACAAATGTTTGTTATTTAGCTAGCAGGTAAGATTGTGTAATGTAATCTTTTATTCATCACACAAATAACCTTATTACTTCTATGATAACATCATTTAATGCAACGGATTTTTTCGATATACTGAGCGCTCATTTTGATCAAATAAACATATCTACTTGTTATACAAGTGTTGTATGTTTCCTGTCATATACTGTTTAGTGAGATCCCAATCATATATTTAAACAGTTAATCGATTATTCATGAACAATATACTTATTCACCATGTGAATTTTTCAACTAATGCTTGTGTCGAATTCTGTCTTTCTAAATTAATTGTATTTCACTTTCCCGAAGCATTTATATAAGAGTTGTGATTGGGTCTTAATCAATAACCTTACCAGTTAACCTACGAAATCTGTTTACTTGTAATACCGCATTCTTACTTAGGTTTTACAAACGAGTTGAGAAGCTGCTCTACGCGAAATACTTGACTATCAATTTCCCACCTCACTAGATGACCAGTCAGATCTCATCGTGGCCAACTCAAATATAAAACTGATCATTGGGTTCAAATTCACTTACTTACAATTAGAAACTTTTAGTTTGAACCTATCCATGTTCTATACTTTTCCTAAACTTCATCTGCGTAGAATAAACATCAATTAGCTATCCAAGAAGAGAATAAATATTTTTTAGATTTTTTCGACAAACTATCTGGTGGGATTCTTCTTGGTTTTTTACTGTTAAGTCATCACGTACTTGAATTTGAAAACGATGAGCGATCGAAACACTCGTTTTTTGCATTCCATAAAGATAAATCTGAACCTCAGCGAACTCAATATGTACCTCCTATCAACCTAATTTGCATAGGAAACCAAAATGTTTGAATTTTGACTGGAGTCAAACTTGTATTTACTTTAGAGAATAGTCGAAAATAATTATATAAACTATGACTGAATTAAAATGGTCTGTCACTGTCAACATCTTTATTGCTCTTTACCTGAAGTGACCGAGTGAACAATAATAAAGACGCAAACAATAATAAGGCGATGAGACATTTGGACTGGATACGAATATTCGCTGTTCTTTCTCAGAACCTTATACTTTATTGAGCCGTAAAAATCAGAAGGTAAAAACTGGCCTGTGACTGCGAGAAAGACACTTTATTTGACAAAATACATCATTTACACACAGTTCTCATGAATATATAAAACCAATAGGTCAGAAGTCAAATGCTTATTCTGGCTGGACAGCTGTGGGATAAATTGTCCAATGAGGTTTTTCCTGGCCACACAGTAACATGAACTAAAGTTGAAATCCAAAACTTCTAACCTAGCAATTGAGAACTTATCAGGTTGATTTCCATTTAGGCCTCTTCCTATCATAACCTATCTGTGTTGAAAACAAGATTATTCAAATACTTCAAACATCAAGTCATGTGACATCGAGCAGTTTATCAAATCCTTGTAGTGTGAATTGTCAATAGCTGGTTTAGAATTTGGAAGGATATAAAGGGACGTCCATGCTCAGACTATCAGTGAGAGTACTTCTTGTACAAGAAGGTTTATTTATAAGGTATATCAAAGCATATTCAAATAAATCGAGCCCAAAATGGAATTCTTGCTACAAGTGGATGGCAGTGGAAAGTAACAGTGAAACTTACTGTTGAACTGTTGCTTTTGGACTGTAGAAATGAGAATTAATAAGTGGGACTGTTGGACAGACAACTACAGTCTAGCGGCTAGTGATTGTTCGAAATTTATTTCATCTTTTCGCATAGTTCTAGGGTAGTTTTCATTACGAAGTGACTTTAGTTGACAAACAAATAAAACCCAGAAGCACTGAACAGTTATTTCGTCCTAGTTTGAAACTCTTCAGCAGTGTTCACCCACAACCCATGGGACATCGTTCCCAAGACTATCGTAGTGAATACTTATTTTTTTGACACACAATGATGAGCTAAATGTTCACGTCTAAAAAGTTCCCACTATTTATCTAGACAGATAACTAGTGTTCAGATGAAGCAATATAGTTCACCGTATTCATTGAATGCTGTATTAATGTCTTTATTTCGCGAATCTGCTGTTTATTAGTTCAAGTACAACGGTGAATGACACTGAGTTTTTACACATACATAGGCATTTACCAATAATTAATCGTAAGAATAGTCTGAATAAAACACTACAGTGGTAAATGGTGCTGTTCTTGTGTAACTCACCTTGAATGCACGACTTCTAGTAGATCTTCGAGCTGAATACTAGTCTATAATGATGCTACTTCATACTTTAATTTTTGCTTGTCTTATTACCACTTCATAATGTTAACCATCTTTAAATGTACCAAAACCACAAGCTTAGGATTCTTGTCAGTGTCGAGGAAAATTCATAGATTTTTTTTACAACAAAAATAAAGATTTAAATGAATTATTTTATTTATCGTCTAAACACTCAGCATAATAATCCAATTTCCATTGTAATAGCTTATCCTACCTATACATTTATTCTACCTTATTTACAGAATGGTCTCCTGTGATAGTTTTGTCTCAACACCTGAGTGTATACAGACATTCCAATATCGAGCAATGTCCATGGCTTGTTTTCTTTACGCATTATGCTTAAGAAGTGGAAAAGGTGTACAAAAAGATGAATTATTAGCCTCACAATTATTCTCCAAGGTAGTTATTACCCTTTTATAGATTTTTTTCATGATTAAAATTTCTATCTTTTTATGTTTGTGATAGAAAATGCTTAAAATATTACTTCGTAAACTTATGTGAGTTACTTGGTAGAAAATTTTGAATTGACTGTGAATCTTCCTCTTCGTTTACATTTTAATCAAGCCTCTTAGCTCTTATGTATAAGTTGAAAGGAACTAATCACTCAGAGCTAAAATATATTCTATTCTTGTTTTTATTTGAGTACTTAACTGACTATTCTTCAAAGGGAAAGTGTACTGCGCAGTAGTTCGCTCAAACATAGATATTCTAATTCGAAAGCCTATGCAAAATACCAGTTTTCAGTTATTTAGGTGTCTTTAAAGTATTCCTCACTTTGGATCAAACCATGTAGTTGGTAGCGTTGAGCATAGACGTACTATAACTAGATCGGGAAGATGAGTCAAACAAAGAAGTTGGGAACCTGCACAGACAAATTCATATGCTAAGGATGCTGAACCTTTATATACTTCGATGTTAAGCAGTAACTAAGGTAGATTTAAATCGGAAGGAAGTTAAGTGTGGTCAGACCAGTCCAGTTCATTAAGTGACTTATTGGCTCTCTGACTGGTGTAGATCACCTACCTAAATACCTCGAGATATTGGACCTCTCAGTGAAGTGTTTAGAAATTGACTGCGGTAGCAAATAACAGACGATTTTTCTTATCTTTGAAATTCTGAAGGTCTGAATATTCTTTACTTATTTATCTCCCTTCTACTCACAAACACTTCATTTATTTTAGAATTGATTTGGTTTTCCTTGCGCGTTAAATATACACCTATGTTCAAGATCTCTATGTTCTTATATTGAACACAAAGTGTCACTTAGGATGACACTAATTCACTAGTACTAGGCTCATTTTGGCAGTTATAAATTCAACTGAACATATTTAACTTATGCAGTGCTGACAGTCTGTTTATCTACTAAATCAACCTTTCAAATCATGATTGTTTATTTGCTGTTCCTGCTAAACAGTGCGATACAAAGATTAAATAATGTAAACATCATTGCACTTTATTGAAGATTACATACAAACAGAATCATTTTGATTTTTCTGGTTCATATTTAGTATTCGCCTAAATAAAAATAATTCCATTTTAGTCTGTTTACTAGAAGTGTCATACAGTTAAACTGTATCATTTACTGGATAGTGTTTTGGACATAAATCATCGTCCATATTTATATAAAGTAACTTCACAACTTTGAGATATATCTTATATAGTTCGACTTTTCTCTCCTTTGTGACAAGGGTAGTAGAATTTTCCGCATATCTGGGACAGGTACAGAATCATTTCTATTACATGTATTTGGTGTTGATTCAATAAACAAAGATTCGGTTTTTAATCTCTCCCTCTACCCAACTAAGTTTTCAATACTGTCGCTTTATCCCACCATATAGCGTGTAATTGCGTGCACAGCTATAGCCAAGCTATCTAAATTTCATGTCAACACCGAATACATATAATAGAAATGATTCCACACCTGTCCAAGGTAAATGGAAAATTCTATTATCCTTGTCACAAAAAAGGGGGAGACAAAAGTTGAACTGTAAAGACTCTTTCTCAAAGTTGTGGAGTTACCTGATACGAATATAGAGAATAAATTGTGTCCGAAACGTTATCCGGTGAATGATACTGCATAACTGTGTGACATTCCTAATGGATAGACTAAAATGGAATTACAATCTACCACAGTGCCCATGTTTCATTCCTGTAAATGGAACTACAGTCAACTGGTCATCTTTCTATATTGCATTAGCTTAATGTCTTGATACAGCGTTTTGATATTTTGTGATTGAAAAATTCAGTCGATATGTGATTTTAAGACATATGTCTGACAGCTTGTAGGAAGTTACATAAACTATATATCAATAGGCATGGTCACGAAATGATGCACGGAAAGCTGAATAAACTAGAAACTCATTTGATTTCTTTAATATATAGTAAAGATTTGTAATGTGTTGAGAGTCATCACCTCCCAAACAATCTGACTCTAAGCCTCTTGTACTTAACATATTCTACATTCTCTTTCTCCGTTTTGTTGGTAATCTGCAGTCAGTTTATAATTAAAAAGAAACTATGCTCTACTCGACCATTAACATCTTGACAAACCAAAGTACTTAACGTTAAACCAGAAGTAATTTCAGTCTACTTTTTGAAGTTACCTATGGAAAATTTTTTTACTAGAATGAGACCCATTACGGAAGTCTGGGTTGCCTTCCGCTTGTCTATTACTTTTCTTAAAGTTTGGCATAGGCAAAGCCACTTGCATTAGTAGTGACAGCTATGTAAGTCAGTATTTATCAAATAATATGTCTGTAATAGTCAGAGTTCGTAATTGAGGAGTGGCCGCGAGAACTTATAGAGGGAAGTTTGAGTGGTATTCAGAGAAAACTGCATTATTAAGCAATGAACTACCATAAATTTCATTGTAGTTAATGTCAGTAACATAATCTTCACGCTCAGCTAACATTTTAGAGACTTTCATTGGATGATTGTATTGTGTAGCAGAAAGAATCCGAAAGTCGAACACAGGGAACGTCCCTACAAACACTGATACATGGACAGTAATCAGTTGCTAGTTTTCATGATGTAGGGACACAAACTGCGGTAAATAGTTCGAAGAGGAGTTTTCTGGAACTAAAGACAAGAATAAATGGCCAGATTATGTTAATGTTCAAATCAATAAAAATGTTAGAGGAAGACTCCTAACGAATGTATACACGTTTGAAAATGCAGTCAACTCTGTGAACTCTCGATCAAAGCATCGAACATGGGTGAAAAGTGAAGTCCCGAAGGTCAGCTGATAGTGAAACGTCTGTATTTGAATCTATATCGTTTGTAATCTCGATAGGATCAGAAAGACATTGAGAAAAAAAGAGTAACAGCTTATAAATCCGTTTGGTTCCCTCTGTTACTGCCTTGGCCTGAAGTATGGGTGGCCGGATCAAATATGAAGTTGGCGTTAAGTCCATTTGCAGATAACTGTTCACTGCGTAATACATAATACGAATATAACTTCCAAATGAACTGACCATAGTATTAAGAAGATTTCTACACTTCTAAACCGGTAAGAACCTGAATTGTGTGCGTCCTCACTATCGGCTTAAAATGAGCGAAGAATCTTCAAGGCTCATAAAGTTATTAGGTCGTATCATAGCAGTAGATATTTTCTTAATCGCAAACTATCCTACTATCACCATCATACTGGTGCAATATAGATATTTTTGGAAATTTGATGAGTAGGTAATGACTCTATATTAACTGTCTCTGACTCTGTAATTTTCTCATTTTGACAGATATTTCGTTTTTCATTTATTGTATTTCAGAGTATTGAATGGGATCCTTTATTGGCTGCACGGTATGCACGTTTAGTTATTGCTGGTGAATTATAAATATTTACATGAATACATGTGAAGAATTTTACATGAAATTATTTTTATAAGAAAATATTCATACTCTTCAAGTCCATTTATGTCCTCGTCAGCTTTTTTATGCATTCAATTTGTTTTATTTCCTTTTAACAGCATAAACAAATAGTCTTTTATTCATTCTTTTTTCTTTTCATCATTTGAATAGATTATTTTTCGTTCATTTACTGAAAATTTCAATTCAAGTGATTTGTACAGCTGACCTTGAATTCTACTAGCTTAACAGACAAATAAAGAGTTCAAATGTGATTGGATGATGTTCCTAACTGAAATATTAGATTATATGATGAACGATAACTATAACTGGTAGTTTTCTAAATAGTACTTATGTCATCAGTCAACGATACTGACACTTTTGAATGGTTCGAAAAGTGCATCAATTTACGCGAATAACGTACTAAAAACTGATCCATCAGCAAGTGCACAAATAGTATATTCTCCAAACTAACGATTACATGTTATACATATGAACAACTCTCATTTTCAGTAGTGTAAACGGAAATCAATTTCAGCAAATAGTTAAATTCAATCCCTCCTACCAGTTTTTTGGAACGAGTACAAACCACATTTGAAACAGTTTAAAAATGGTGATCACGACTCTGTCTAGTTTAAAATACAGGTTTACTATTGAAGTCAACTGAATGATTTTGGTAAGTATAGAGCTACAACCTTCGTAGCGTGTGGAACGATCACGAGTTTCAGTTTCTCAACACTTAAGTAAATCTTAAGCAGTAGCTGCACTTGAAAAATAAGTGGGAGTTACTGCTGTTTACTCCACGTAATTGTAACTAGCAGCTTCGTATCAGTGAGAGCAGTCTGTAAGGAGGACTGTTTGCTAATCAACAACCTTCAAAGACTTCTAGATTACTAGGAAGCTCGTTTTTAAGGATAATATAACTGAACTGATACTTCAGAAATCTGTAGCGTAGCACAGTTCGCTTCATAATTAGTTTATATTAATGTTTATGTGTAGCTGTAACTTATGCTTTAGTTGGCCAACTTTCAACTGATGAGTCATGAGTTTTTTCTCTCCTCCTGTCAGGAATTAGGCATCCACATAATAGGTGTGGTTGATTGTTTATTACAATAACCTGCGCGCGGCTATATAGCTCCATAACACTGCAACCTATATGACCAAGTGGGTGTCAATAGAAAAATTTGTGCACTAAAATATCGTAAGGCTGATGCTTCAGCTAACTTGTTTCCTGCTCTTTTTGAGAATGAGAACCAGGTTTCAGTTAAAGTTATAAGCAGTTTGAAACTCAAACTGCTAGTTTCCCAATGCTTTACAATAAGACCATCATTGAACTCGTCTTTAAAAAAGGTCTATGAAATGCATATGGAAATCACCAGGCTATCAGTTTACAAATAGACGTGTCTGAAATATTGATTGCTCCTATACTTTACAGGCACTACGGCAAGTACAAAACGTTTATTCAGGAAAATTACGGGCCTATCCAAGCTCATGCGTGCATTGATCATGTATTAAATTTCTTCCAGCCTGATTACCGTCATACTTATTCAAAGGTAGAAATTGATGCTTGTTGTTACAAGAATTGCTTTGGATTCACTGAACAAGACTATGTTATGGAATTATCTGTTGCAGATGGGTGACCCTGGAAGGAATACTAACACCTATGAGGCTCTACATGGCAACACATCAGGTAAAGTGTGAGGATATAACCATCTTCCGCTTTTGTTCCAAACTCCATGAGGTGATACGGGGTTCTTAGCTTTCACGGCATCTCTCTAACTTTTTTATTGATGAGGTTTTCAAAACACCTATAAGGGAATTTCAGATCTGTTATCAGGAATAGGCTTTGAAACTTCATCTGCATAGATGATCTCCACTTTCTATACGAGAATACACAAAGTACTGTCATAGGGTATCATCATTCGATCACTTTATGAGATATTTACTTTTCACCAATAAAGTACAAAATGAAGTCGCCTAGAATCTTATTTTACTTTTATCCTTAATGGTAAACCATTTGAAATAGCTAAGATTCTGGTGCATATTTTGGTAGCTGTTTGAATCTCGCTGAAGGTATAAATGATGATTTTAATCAGAGGTGTAAACAACAAGACTTGATTACCTCTGTTGGCATTTCGCATCACATTAGTTTGATCATACATTTTCGAGTGAACATTTTAGTTCATTAGTCAACTTCCTTAAACTCCTGAGCTGGAATTGAAGAAGTTTTAATGACATACAAATATAAAGTTATCCAGATGGAGCATCGCAGTACACACTAATAACCATAGGCGTTTCAGCTATCTACTCGTATACTATCACTATATAATAGTTACACTCTCAATACAATTCGTACCAGCATTTATGATTATAATTACTATAGACAACCTGAACTGCAAACACATCCTTCGCTGTTCATTTCATCTATATGATATTTATACCAACAGTAGACTTTAAGCTAGCGAGTTTTTTGGTGCTGGGGAATATCTGTTTAAGGTTAAGAGTTCATGTATCCGCTTCTTTTGAAATCATGCTTCACTCCGTTAAAATTAACAATACTATAAACATCCAGTTCATAACAGTTACGAATGTCCTGAAAGAATTTGATAGCTGAGTTTGATTTAATCTTAATATAACCCCAGTGAGTTTTGAAAATCCGAATATTCTGCTACAGAAGCATATATAGCGAAAAGTTCAGAAACAATCTTGTTTTCATTTTCTAAACATGCTGGGACTATATTTAAACTTACTTATAAAATGAACAATATCTACAAAACACATTCGCAAATTTTTCTCTATACTCGCGTAACAAAAAGACAGGGTATTTAGTTTTCACAACCACGTTTTTTTCATAGAACTGTCATAATTTTAGTTCTAGGAACTTTATCTGAAAAGTAAATATTTCTCTTTAAGAGAAGCAAACTGGCAATATGTTAAAAGTTGACGTGTTCTGTCTGTGTACTTGGTGAAGAATGATCTAATATTTATCTCAAATTTTGTATCGGACGCAACTGGCTAATTTTTTGTTCCCCTGAATACATTAAGCATTGCTGACAAGAGCATATTAAATGAGCAGTGATGAGTATAAAATCACAAAATGTCATGGCTTTTGTTTTACTGTGTTGGGGTTAATAGCTTCTAAGAAAAAGTATACATTACATTCATGTTCTTTTTACTTTGCTTTCAAACCATTATTTCTTTTTACTTTTCCCTGAACTGGATTTAGGACTTCTATTTTTCGATGATTTTTTCGATTTAGGTGGTGATTTTGGAGATGGTGGATTAGCCGGCAAATCGTCTCTTTGATATTGTTTAACTATCCATCCAGGTAGTAGGATATCATCTGGAATTGGAAGAGATGCTTGACTTGAGCTTCTTTTAACGTCACATGTTTCATCAGCTAACATTGGAAGAGCTGGTAGACCATTTATTGGCATCAAATGGTCAACAACTGGACGTAGAAGTAAGGCATCATCTAATGCTAATAGTGTTTCCTCATACCACCTAAATATTGTTCTGTCTGCAGTGATAGCTAATTTTTTTGACCATCTGTCAACAATACATGCTGTGCCATTTTTACCCAGACTGAAATGTCCCGGTCTAATAGTTCGAACCTAGAAAGCATGTTTCATCATGAGGTAGTGAAGGATTCCATGACCTAGGTAAATTCTTATTTGTAAAAGTATTATAAACTCTCATATATCCACCACGAGAATCAGAAACAACTAATAATCCCAGAGAGTCAATTTGAATTCCATATGGCTCTCCAATCGATAAACGATCTAAGCCGAATCCTGAATACCATTTTATATTGATACGATCCGTTTGAGACAGAATACGCTGTCTATGGATCGAAAATATTTGTACTGTTGGTGGTCTTGTTGCAGCTACGAACAGTGAATTTTCACTTGCTGCATATCCACCTGAAGTTGCTAAGTGTATACATGTGCTTTCATCAGCAAAAGCATTTTCTAAACGAAAATCAATGGGTTTTAGTGTTGTCGGGTTCAAAACGCGTAATTTTTGAATAGGTTGAAATAAAATAAATAAGAGATCCATATTTGAATACATTCCAGTTGGCGTACTATCATCTTCAAGTTTATATTCATTTGGTTGTCCCACTTCATTTTGTATTGATAACAAAGATGAGGGGAGAACTTCATATTTGAAGTCAGTTCTGTTTTCTTCCTTCAGTGTTTCCGGGTCGTACAAGATTAAAGCTGCTTTCTTAGCCTTTGGACATGTTGACAAACAAGCTATCCGTCCAGTTCTTGGAATCTCTGTAATAATTCTTGGCTCCCCTTTTCTAATAATTGGTGGGGTATACTGCGTAACTTTTGAGTGAATAGGATCAAAACAGTAACGTAATATTCATCGTTGTGGTGGATCGCTAACAAAAATATCACCCCGACTTGTTATCAATGGACAATACGGCGACCAAAACCATTCGCGATGTTCAAATGTTATGCGATTAGCATATGGATACCATACTTGTCTTCGTAAACGTGATAAAAGTGGGCATTTAGGTGGATCTGGAGGGGGTGGTGGCGGCGTTTGGAATACAGATGGTTCTTCAACATCTTTAAATTTATCTTTAGGTGAGTTTTCACCTTTAGGGGCGCTACCCTTAGATATCGGTGATGACATAAGACTGCACCAGCCTTCAGTGGTAATATTACTTCAAACTAATCGATCAATAATAACAATCAATAGACTTATGGTAAAATAAGTTAGCATGTGATTTAATAATGTACTATTCAGGTAAATTCCCTACTGATAGGATTCTAGATAAAATCAGCGTAGAATTTAACGAAAAGTACATCACATCAATATTTCATATTTCACTAACAGTGATATGAGAAGGAAAGATTAATATTCTGAGTTGAGTAAATATAACAATTAAAATACAGCTTAATTCGGTAAACGCTTAATATTTTCATTTAAAGACGTTTATCGAACCACAGAGTGTTATAGTGTGGAATACGATTACCAAATTCTTCGCAAGTGGCCATAAACCATTAAGGCTTTCTTCAACTAATCACTTTGCTTCGAAGTTTCAGGAAAAAACAAGTGGAACAGCGTGTAGGTATCAGGTTGTCTGAAGAGATGGAAAATCAGTAGAATTTAAATCTAGTAGGCCCGGAAATGGCCAGGGCCATTGATATACATTTATTATGATTATTATTTATCTCTTGGGTTCCTAGTGGAATATAGGGAATCAGTAGCATGTCTCCATTCCACTCTGTTCTCTGCACGACTACCCAGAAGCTCTCAATTATTCATATGATCTTCTCCATATCACCCTCGGACGCTCAATTCGTCGCTTCCCATCTGAGTTCCACTCGAGGACCTGGCGCATGATGTCCCCACTGGGTCTTCTCAGTGCATGCCCAATCCATCTCCACTTCCTTCTGCATATTTTTTGGATGATGGGTTCTTGGTTGGTTCGTCGCCAGCCAGCGTTTCTTGTTTCTTATTCTTTCTGGCCATCTGATCTTCAGTATCGAGCCAGTGTAGGCGGCAGTTGTTGATGAATATCTGTAGTTTATTGGAAATGCTTTCCGTAACGCACTAAGTCTAAACCATATAGCAGCACTGACTTGAGGTTGGTGTTGAAAACCTGGATCTTCTTCCACATGCTGAATGCAGAAGATCTCCACACTGGTTTCAGGCTAATGCTTTTGCGATCCTGGCTGGCTTTGACGTCCTCGTCTGTGTTGCCTGTAGTTGAAGCAGTGCTTCCTAGATAGGTGAGGGAGGCTACTTCCTTTAAGTTTCTCCTGTTGATGGTGATTGGTGTTTGTTGTTGTTGGTTGGGTATCTTCATCGCTTCCGTCTTCTCTACGTTCACTTGAAGGAAGTCCCCTCTTCCTTCGCTGCCTCTTCTGTAAACCTGTTAGTTTTTGCCTGTAGATCTTCAAGTTTATGTGACATTAGGCATAAGTCATCGGCGAAATCCAAATCTTCTAGGATCTTTTCCCCGGTCCAGCGTATCCCCCTCTTCTCGCTCCTCAGAGTTTGTTACATGATCCAGTCCACCACAATCAGGAATATCATGGGTGATAGTAGACAGCAGCCTTGTCTTCCTCCTATCTTCACTTCAAAGGCATCACTGAGCTTCCCACTGTGAATCACTTGGCATGTGGCATCTTCATATAGTTGTCGACGCTGTCCAAAGCCTTTCCAAAGTGGATGAAGTTGAGGTAGAGGGTTGACTGCCATTCTATACTCTGTTTTATGATGATGCGAAGCATTGCAATTTGGTGCGCACATGATTTGTTCTTCCTGAATCCAACCAGCCTGTTCCGGTCGTAATTTTGAGTCCAGCGCATTTTTTAGTCTTTCCAGGATGATGCAGTATAAAGTCAATTTTACATTATAGGAGAAATAAATATAAAAAATCAGCACACTGTCTCGCCTGGACGATTCTGTTTCCATCCATCAGTCTGCATAGAAAGCAAAAAAGCCACATTTGAAGTTGTGTGCGGTTAGTTTCTTTTAAAATTCCATCAAACTTTACATACTTATTCTATTCAAATAATCTTCTACAAAATATTTTGATTGAGACAAAGTCACAAATATAAACAAGACTCAGAAGAAATCTCAGACACTATTCTGTCATTATAATGATACATTCTGATTTAGCATGAGAATTTTGTGAGTAATTATCCATAAGTATCTTAGGGAAAATTGTTGTCAAGAGGCCTTTATTTCTCTCCTTAAAATTCAACAAAAAACATCTGGACTACGTGAGATTTCATTCCATTAACATACGGTCTAGATATTCCAATGAGTTTTCAACAGCTTTTAAGCACTTTTTTGGTTTAAAGGTTTTGTTCACAGACTAACATCAGTTGGAAAATAAGTGAGAACTTAGGAGCAGTGTTTTGTCCCAGTTTCAGACTCCTCAGTAGTGCTCACTGAAAACCCCAAGACAGATCGAACCCAATGCGTTCGTTACCGTTCTGACATTGAAGTCCAGCGTTCCAGACTTTCCTATATCTTTTAATTCACAACATAGCACCATGATCATTTAAATTCTTCGGCATTTCTTCTCACGGATTTATTCTATTCAGGAGCATAGAACTGGGATGAAACAGCTGTCCAGTGATTCTATAACTGATATCAGTTCAGTAAAATTACCATAAAATTAATGTCATGAACAGCCACCAAATGAACTGTTTCTACGGGCTAGACTAAACGCAACCACACCATAGCCGTATATATTCTAATCCTTAAAATCTTTCAATAATAATGCCAATCATTTTTGAGATATGAATTTTGCATCCACAAGTTCAAACAGCATTTGTCTTGACAAATATTATTCCTGACCCGTGGGTGAATCCTGCCTCGTGAATGACCTTTATTAGTAGTTGCCAACAGCCATATCCTAAGCCGAAAACCGTTTGGTCTTCTAGAAGTGTTTTATCGCACCTACTACAGTCAGCATTACAACTTAGTTCTTAAAAACAAACACCAAATTCGTATCTCTCACTGGATGTTTCTGTTAAGAGAATGGTCGACCCTATGGACTGTCAGTTTCTTCAATTACCACTCCATTTAACATCTTTGCCTGTTCTTTTACTTCTGCTTTCTAATGCGTCAGAGCTCGAACCGTTGGAAAAGTCGTCATATTGCAATTCCTTTACAAGATTTCGTATCTTACCTTATCACAACAGCCATCTTGCTAATAACTGGTGTTTCTTCATCGGTTACTACCTTACTGTTTACAATCATTCCAAACGAACCACACTTCATTGCCACTCTCCCATTTTTGGTATCGACTTTTATCCCGACTTTGAGAAATCTTCTCCTACTGTTTGCTGAGTATGCATAGTACTTATGAATAGGTGACAGTCTTGTGATTGAATGTGTCTCAAGGCAAACTGAGCTTCAACATGGGAGAACCACGCAGATGGTCTGTGGGCCCAGAAGGTGGGAAGCTGGAGGGTTACGGCCATCTGCGCAGTCGAGTCGTTATCCGGCATTGATCAGGGAATAAACGAGGCGCGATGGTGATAATAAAAAAAATTACAATGCAGAAATAACCAATGAGGAGTGCAATAATAAAAATAAAAAAACGCTAGACCGTGCCAAAAACAAAAATAGGCCAGACAAATCAATGCAAGAGAACAAAGGTACTAGACGAAGTAAGAAGTGATACTCGGGCTCACCAATTTTGTAGGGATGCGTGTTACAATTCCGTAACGTTTGATCAACCCTACTTAACTTGATGTGCTCTAGTACCTGCTTAACCAGTACTTTACCTAACGTGTAAGTACTGATAACAAAACACAAATCAAAAGAACTGATACGCAATGTATTTAAGGTAAATGTAATAATAATGAATGAGGGAAAAGTTTAATCAACTTATCTGGCTTGTAAGGCTGAACTAGGGACTCGGAGTACGTGCGTGGTGACCAGCACAATGGAGCGCGAAAATGGCGTCCAAGCCTGCTCGGATGCATGCTCGTTAAAACAAAACTTAAAACACCCTAAGCATCCGGAGGCAAGCTAGAGATTTATTTAGTTAATTTAATTTAAACTACTTATTTTAGCCTTAGTTACATTTTGGTGCCAGGAAGGTGCACTACAGAGTCTCTGACTACTGGTCTAAGACTTGTAGACTGGCTAATAGGGGCCCTTAAGAAGATAGGAAGTAATGGTTGGAGACCCTTAGCAATAAGGCTGAAAATCGGTCACAATAGTGCAGATATATTCATTCTCTGATGTCCTCCAAAGTTTGAACACTTTCACTAACCTTGGTTTTCGGAAGTTTTCTTCTTTCATACACCTTTGTCTACTTGATATCGGTCTTTCTCTACCCATTCACTCTTTTTGCACTGTTGTGAAGCATGGTAGGCTAAAACGACGTTTTTTCGTGCTAGGTTAATTTTGTATCTGCCAGTAGACCGCTGCTCTTGCATCAACATGTCAAAGTAACAAGATATTTCACCTTCAACAATGACCTCTTCACTTATATCCAGTTCTCCATTACACAAATAAATCATCTTCCTTGCTAGCGATTAAAAAGTTGGCACCTACTTTGTTACAGGTCTTCTGTTTTTGCCAAGTGACATCCCTCTCATTACTATTTTTACACAAATGCCAGGGTTGCGTTCACTACTTGTTTGATAACTTTTGCTGTTTCCTCAATATCCATTGGCTAAGTTATGTTCACTGATTGTAGTAGCTTTAGAAAATATTAATCAAAACACCCTACACAAACTGGGACTTGCGTTAATCGGTATAGAATGGGTAGTGCGAATTCCGATAGGTCTCAATCCCGGATGAGTATCATATTCCGAAGTCACTACATGGTTTTCTGTCTACCTTCAGAGCTCTGAATCTAAACCACGAAGCATTCTATCAACATTTACCATGCTTCCTTCTAGTCATAATCTGCCTTTGAGTGACATCTCATCAACACACATATCACCACTACTTTTATCCTTTTGCTGGATATCCACAAACTTCAGTCCCTCAGAAACCCTTAACTCTTCCATCATCCGACGCCTGAAGTCTTAACACCTTCATCTAGTTCACGAGCAGCGACATCAATTGCAGAGAAAAACACTACTGGGATAGGTAAAATGGTTTGCTGCGCAAACTATATCCAGTATTGATAAAACATTACGAGTTAGTAT